TTACCATACATATACTAACAGCAACAATAGTCGACAAATCGTCTTTTTGAGCCATCACAATAAATGTGCTCCTTTAATTTCACTCCAGAAATCTGAAGAGGATTTCGATGATGCAATTGATTAAAACTAATATTTCTCCACCCGCAATCAACGCTCGTCAAAGTTTTAGAATCTGTAAAAAATCCTTTCACCAAAAGCAGTAACTATTCCGCTATTCAGTGACTAGATTCTACCAGAGGACTCATATCATCCTGCTTTGGAAATATCTGTCGAAATCTCAGGCATTGTACGGGATAATAATCATCAAACTTCGTGCTTCTGTACTCGGTTTAACTTTGCAAAAGCTAATTTTAAAAAGTTAAATACAGAACTTTCTACAATAACATGCCTAATTATAATGGTGACATTGAATTGAGTGTCTCTCATTTTAATAACATTATTATGAAAATTTGAAAAGTATGTTCCAATAGTAATTGTTAATAAAAGCTAAAGTATAAGTCCGTGGTTTTCGAAAGAGTTATTTAAATTGAAAAACAGAAAACTCGAGCCTTTAAACATTTTAAAAACTGGTGCACTTCTCATACATTCTAAATATTTTCTATTGGTCGACAATATTTTGACCTAAACAAAAATGTTATAATAATTACTTAAATAAAGAAAAAAGAATATTGTAAGTAATCCAAAATCGTTTATGATTTCGTCAACTCCAACGCAGGATTTCCAAATTTCCGTCCGCAATGAAATACAAATCTATCATTTAAGTGACAATGATTTATATCCAATATGTTTGCAGAATTTTCAAGTCAAACTACTGTAAAATTCTTCCAAAACTTTTCTTATCAGCACGTGGTGTGTTCGAATACTTTAATTACCGCTCCAATTATTTCTGAAGAAGACGTCCTACTTAATTTAAATAAGTTAAAACCATCTTTTAGTTATGGCCCAGACATGATACCCTCATGCTTCCTAAAAATATGCCAAATATATTTACTAGACTTGCAGGTATTTAATTCTCTCTTAAACACGGTATATTTCCTTCAATATGGAAACAGTCATTTATAATCCCTTTGCATAAAAGTGGATTTAGATCAACATTGAAAACTATAGAGGTATCGCAAAAACTATCAGTTATTACCTAAACTTTTGAAGCTATCATCACTGACCATATAAACCTTTTCGATTTCTCCGTTAATTTCCTCATCTAGCAAGATTTCGTAAAGGAACTCGACTATAACAAACTTACTTGAATTTGTAAATATGTATCATTGGTTTTAGGGAACATATGCATACGGATTATATACACAGACTTTAGCAAAGCTTTCGGTAAAGTAAATATCTCGATTCTCATACATAAACTTGATCTGCTGGGCTTTCAGCCAAGATTCCTTCATGGGTATCTTCCTATCTTTATAATAGAACACAACGAGTGATATTTGAGGATACACCTTCAATACAATTAATGTTTCTTCGGTGTTCCGCAAGGTAGTCATCTTGGCCCGATTCTGTTCTTGTTGTTTATTAACATATCTCTTCAGTAATAGAATTCTCAAAAATTTTATTATACGCTGACGACGTAAAGCTTTTAAATCATACACTTCAACTGAGGAAAGGTGTCTGTTGCAAACAGACTTAAACAATTGGTTGCATGGTGTGATAGAAATGATTTGCCATAGAATCTCAATAAATGTAAGACGATGTGCTTTTCCCGTAGATCTGTGCACCCTCTTCTTATGTAATAAACACCATATTCTAGAGCAAGTTTTAACTATGTTGATTTGGGAGTAATATTGACCTAAGCTTAAATTTCAGTCTTCATTTATACCATGGTTTGAAAGCAAAAGCTGTCCTCAGTTTTGTTAAACGTTGGTCTAAGAATTTAGAGATCCGATATTACTAAAACACTTATACAACTTTGGTAGACCTATATTGGAATATGGCTCTGTGGTTGGAACCCTAGCTACCAAATCCATCTGAAAGTTAGAGTCGGTTCAAAAACAATTTTACTTTTCGCCTAGCGCATTCCGAGGGATCTAGGGTAATCTACCTCCATACACTAGTCGTTTAAAACTTATAATCTACTACACTTTCTAGTCGTAGGGAAATGCTTGGCATAATATTCTTAGTGAAATTTTGAATGGAACGTTTGCAGTTCTTTTCTCCTGTCTGAAATTAAATTTAATATCCCGGTTCGCCTTCGAGGCATTTAGACTTACTGCTAAAATCCTGTAGATCAAGTTTTGAACTAAACGAGCCATTCCGCGTATATGTCATGTTTTAATTCCATTCCAGCACATTTGACTTATCTGACTCACTTTTCAAAATTAAAAGACTTTTGTTTTCTCTTAATAAATGAAAATGTAACAATTATTATATTGTAACTTTAGATCTTAGCAGTTCTAGATCTCAACACTAAAAACTCTCTTGCCTTTCTGACTCGGCAATTCCGCACGTATGCGGATTGCGCCCTCGCGTCGGTTGGCGGGAGGAGGGCAACGTTGGTTTATTATATAATATATTCACCTTTCAATTGCGTTAATACGTTTAATAAAATAATTTTTCAAACATTGTTAAATTGTTGAATCTAAATATTTATTAATACAGTAATTCCAAGCGTTTAAATATTTTTCATTATTTCATGTTATTCAATATCTATGAGTTGAAAAAAGCACAAAGAGCACTAGAGACTAAACCACCTCTCTTGGCGTTGCAACTATGTATACCAACAGTGAACTTGCCGATAATAAACAACAAAGTCTCCCTCTGTTGAACACATTCTATAGTATGAAACATATGCAATCCAAATACATAAGTATACGATAATTTACATAGACAAGTATATAGTTCATGCAAGAGTTTACATCGACAAGCAGCGCTCCCCAAACACCAAGCCATCAATACTAAGCCGACTATTGTCGGTCAAATAACTTGAGAACCCACAAAGATCCGTTAGCGCGCTTCATCAAACGAAGGGAAATCAGTGCAGCGGTTTAGTTCTAATCGGTAGTTCTTACACGATAGTTTGGAAAGCGACGTCGTTCTGAATAAAGTGTGTAGAAAAAGCTATAAAAAGTTGTGATCTGAATATGGTCACTAATAAGCATTCGTATGCTGGCATACTTGAATTGCAAGGCGAAATGAGCAATGCGTCGGCACCGTCATCAGCCTACATGCAAACTGACCATGTAACTTCAGCGCAGCCGAGCAGCAGCGGTGTACAGATGACAGGTGAGCCTCAGATGCCTAACTGTTCGACAATACCCATGAATCCAAATCCGCCGGTGGGGCCAGAATCTACACAAATACGGTGTCCACAATGTAAATGCACAGTGAAGACGACTGTTAGATATCGTTCGACCACAAAAACTCATTTGGCTTGTATACTGCTTTCGTGGACTTGGTAAGGATCTTATTGGAATACTTACGCTTTTACATGTACTTATATGTACATACATAATGTGGATATGTGTATATGTAATTGTTATCTAATTTGTATACAGTTGTTGTTGCTGTTTGCCGTACTGTATGAACTCATGCCGAAATGCGAATCATTTCTGCCCCACGTGTGGCACTTTCATAGGCACCTATCAATCTTAAGGGCGTATAAAGAGTGGCGAAGAGAAGAGCCTTTCGGTAAAACGCATTATTAATGTGTTGTACATGCTTATATGAGTACGTTAGTGTACATTCCATTATATAAATAAACGATTACATTTCTATGCCGTATGTGTTTTTATGTGTAAGTTATTTTTATGTTGCTAATTCCAGCTGGATTTTTTTTTTTAAATTTCATTTACCAGTAGTCAGTATTTTGCATGGCGTATCGTTATTGTAAAACTAATCCGGTAGATATAAGTGATAACCGCTTTGGCGCTCAAATCCTTTCGTACCTTGAGGAGATTGTTATTGATATAATTCAATCGCCAATTAAGCTTCGAAACTGGCATGGAGCCTCACAATGGGATACCTTTTGTTTTTTAATGAGCATGACCCCTCGTTTCCTAGCGGCCTAATCTATTGACATATATGTATTCACATACTTACATAAATACATCTTATAAACTGCTAGGGCTTATGTGGCATTTTAATTTATTTAAGGGGATCGTCTACTATCGCACTCAGATTACGGGCCTATGTTTGATGATGGAAAAAAACACAAACATGCGTAGTTGACTATTTGGCAAAAGATTTCAGCTTCAGAAACTTGAAATCAAAAAAAAAATATTTTTTTAATTTCAATATCTGACATAATGGCAACGATTTAAAAACAATTTAATATTACTGTGTTTGCATGAGGGTCTAGATGAAGGGAAAAATAGCTAAAAAAATCACAATATTTATTTTACATATTTATTTAGAAGAAAAAAAACAGGTATCAATTTTGTTACTTCAGGCATTAACACCATAAAGAAATCAATATTCAATATGCTCTCGATCTCTTCTGGTCGCATTTTTGATGAATTTCTATAATAATATAAAAATCAAAGTAATCCCAACACCAAGCTATGCAGAAAAATAATGAATCGGAAGTTCAAAAAGTTTTAATAGCTAAAGAATTAGTAGGTAGGTTTTATGTAGGGCGAAATGCCTGAAGTATCAAAATTGATACTCACAAATGTATCATAGATATAATAAAATAATAATGACATTTGATTATTTTTTAATTTCGTTGGAAAGAATATTATACAACAGTAAAATACGTACAGCCAACTTATAAAAAAAACGTATAGTAATGTGAACATTCGGTTTAAAAGATTTTTATCAAAATTGAAACTCTAGGTTATTAATGGACAAGCACAGCTGTGAATACCTATCTACCGCAGGGAATTATGTATTTTATCAAATACTATCAACACCTATTATAGTAGGGAGACCAGTCAAAATCAGCACCAGAGAGAAGAGTTCTACAAAGTTTCGTGCCTTTAGCTTTTTAATTAAAGGCAGGCTACCGGAAAATAAAATAACAGAATAATGGGTTGTATTTAAGATATATGATATGGTGGTCCACTCTGATCGATTCCGACAAATGATCAAAAGAATATCAAAATGCACCTATGTACTAAATTTCATTCGGACATCTCAAAAACTGACGAAGAAATTTTCATAAACCCTAAAAGATAAACTTCGCCTTCAAAATCGCTGGTTCGAAACCGATTTTAGTCCCGTAGCTTCTTAAGCAAAGTTGTTCAGAATGATCCGTGAAACATTTCCCGCATTCGCGATTTTATAGAAAAAAAATCGACCCGTTTTAATATGCACACATATATGGTAATTCTGTATTTCTCCCATATCCCATTTGTGATACGTATGTGCGTATGTATGCTATATAAATAAACCTACATTTGTTTATTATTTATATTTGGTTTATATTGCTATAATTTTTGTGTATTTACACTGGCCAGTCGTAGATGTGTAGCAATGAAGTGTTTGAGAGACTCTGCTTTGGAATCATATTACCAAGAGGCACTTATGTATGTATGTATTAGTATTTACCATTTGGTATGTAATATTATACCTTTTCGTTGCAATTATTTAAGCTCAACTGGTCAGCCGAATGTTAGAAAAGCACCAACTGCATTGTAATCCTAACAACATATGTATACCTTACAAAATCGTATACGATTTGAACAAAATTGGAAAGATCCAAAATTCTAAGTCACATCTGAATATTTCCTAGAGTAAAATAAATGCTCAAAAAATATAAAGTACTTAGTCGCACATTGCCGCCACTGTTCCCTAGTACATTCTGACAGACGGCCTTTATCAAAATTGCAGGCGAATCGGATTCAGAGTTTTGGTTTGATCGCGAGTCCGCGGATTTTAGAAAAGCAATATCGTGCCTCGCTTCTTGGTTTTGAAAGATGCATTACTCATTAAAGCAATACAACCTCTTGCACTCCGCATGTGATTTGACCTTTCTATTGAATCTTTAACAGTTAGATGTTTGTATCGCTACTCTCTAAGGCTTAGCGAGTTATAACCGTGCAAAAATTTTGAGACAATATGACTCATTGGAGTTCATTGCTCAAGTTTTAAATATGAAATATACTTTGATCCGCACGAGGTATATCTTTGATGCATTTATATTGTACGGGCCATTCAAACCGGGCAGCAACAACAGCCAAATGTGAAACTACATACATATGTATGCATAAACATAGGTGTGTATATAGTTCTTGCAAGGTTTTCATTAACAGGCGTCAGTCAAACGAAGTCGAAAGCCACAGCTGTGCATTAGTTGTGATCGGCAGTTCACACACGGCGGTTGTTTTAAAATTTGTGCTACTGGAGGACGTCGCATTTTCTGGATAAAGTTTCATTAAGAATATGACCAAAATTAAGCACCAGTATGCTGGCCTACAAATTGAAGGCGATATGGACAATGAGATATCTAGTATTTCGACAGTATTTACGAATCCAAATCCGCCGGTGGGTCCACAATCTACACAACTACGGTGTCCACAATGTAAATGCACCGTTAAGACGACTGTTAGACATCGTTCGACCACAAAAACTCATTTGGCTTGTATACTGCTTTCGTGGACTTGGTAAGGATCTTATTGGAATTCTTACGCTTTTACATGTACTTATATGTACATACATAATGTGGATATGTATATATGTAATTGTTATATATTTTGTATACAGTTGTTGCTGCTGTTTGCCATACTGTATGAGCACATGTCGAAATGCAAACCATTTCTGCCCCATGTGTGACGCATTCATAGGCACCTATCAGTCCTAAGTGGAGCAAAATGAGTGGAGTAGAACTTTTGTATATATAATGTGAATGTATATTGGTATTATATACAAATGTTTGTAGGAATATATACTCCAATACTTATATATAAATAAAAGATTATGTGGCAACACTTTACATAGATAGTGTTCTGATGTATATATTACTTGGAAAATTAATCAATGGGTAATATTTGTGAATACGCAAAATACTATAGACGATAAAGTAACGTCATATTAAAAAAATTATTTTTCGGATTTTGTGATTCTTACTATGAATACCCTTCGAGGAAAATTCGCAAAAAATTTCGAAAAACACCTCATAGAGCCTGGCCCCAAGTGGGCGTGTTTAAGTGTTTATGAGACTCATTTTGCTCCCAAGTGCGACTTAAATAAGCACCATTAGACAACTCCCTGGAGTTGGAAAATTCGTAATCTTTTCCCTTCAAACTGCTCAATTTCAAGTACTGCTATTCAGAGAGGTAATGAGTTTTTATCATCCTCAACGCATGCTTTGCCTTCTCTAGATTTCACTTTGCTCTGTTTACTTCATAATATTATAAGCGTTTGGGTGTGTCCAATATAAATGCTAACCCAAAATAATTATGTGGCAGGGATTGTAGTGGTGGTGTTCCAAGACCTGAGTTGTTTCCTTGACATTTATTACTCCAAAGTTTTGAAAAAACTTAAGAGTCTTATAAGAACTTCGCTTTCGAACTTAAAAGAGTATTATGTAAGACGCAACAAATTTTGGTTAAAATGTGTGTATGGCCTACGTCCTTATTAGACTGTTATTCGCTGATAGTCACAGAAGAAGTATGTATTAGCTAAAGAAATGTACGAAAATATTGTATTTATCTGCTAGATATGTATTTGGGAGGGTAATAAAACGAATTCATTTTTTTCGCTTGATCCTCTGAAAAATAGGTTCTTAGACACCTAATATTTCCAATTAAACTGGTAACGAAAATTAAACTTGTTTATTTTAGTTTTAAAACTGTTTCTAACCAACTTGACCTCGCAGATTTAAAATCTATCAGTTTCTTTCTAACAGTTCTAGTTTTGATGGTACAGTTACTTCTTAAAATATCGTTAGTCGGCTTACTTGAAATAATTTTTAGAGCAAAAAATTACTAATTTCATAAATGAACCGCTATGTCTAAATTAAAAAAAAACTTTTTCAAATGGTCCGAATAGGTTTTGTGCTGTTTGTGGTCATTCATTTCATCTATTGGAAGTGAAGTTATTGTGTTTTAAGTGTCAGTATGTTTATGTCATCGGTGCGAAAATGAGCTTCGAACAAAGAGCCCACATTAAATTTTGTTTTAAAATTGGTAAAACTTTTACCGAAACGTTTCAATTGATGAAACAAGTTTATGGCGATGATTGCCTATCCAGTAGCAGAGTGCATGAGTGGTTTCAACGTGGAGGCCATTCAAAAGGCTTGCACCGGCATACTGGCGGCCATACCGGGCAACAAGCTAAAACACACGTTTGACATGCTTTTGGACCGTGCAAAAAAGCTAAAATTAATAGATTTTGCCGATAAAACCATTTGATCTGTCTTTTTTTATAAAGTCCTGTTTACTTTGGAAATTACCTTGTATATTTAAAGAATTCCGTTTAAATGCGTCTGTATCTATTAAAAAAAACCTATTTGGTCTGCTTTGGGAATAAAATACATAGAACATAACTGGCTGATATGCTTCGATCTTAAAACGGTAAATTTTCTTTTAGGTCAACAAGGAGCATATACCAAATACCCCTGTTTCATGTGCTTATGGGTTAGCCGAGACAAGGCACTCTCGTAGGCAGAGAACGCATTATATAATATTACCACCTCCTCGTAGTCTGATATAACAGTTTGGATATAACATGAGCATCAAGACGCACTTTCCCTTCAGCCGTTTACGCCGCGTCCCAGAAAATTTAGGTGACCTTATAGAAGAATAAAAAGAACGCTTTCATCAGGATATTCGCACTATGAAAGAGCGATACCAGGGCTATTGGAATGAAAGTATGCTGGTTGATTACTTCTGGAGCATTCAAAACAAGGCTGATGTTTCTACCCATGCAAGAAAAGCACATAAAAGAAAAATTTTTTATGTTAAGTAAGAACAATGTATTTTTATACTCTTGCAATAGTTGCTACAGATTATAAAAGTTTTGTTCACCTAACGGTTGCTTGTATCACTTGAAACTATCAAGGATTAAGATACCTTAATGAAACTTGATACACGTGTTTCCTGGCAAAAAGGTAAGGGACAAGTTCGTAGATAGGCGTAATTGGATCAATACCACGCCCACAAAACGCCATTAATCGAAAACCTATAAATTTCTATTACTAAGCTCCACAATAAGATACAAAACCGAAATTGAGTACAACGAATCGCAATAATGATGGCCACCTGTGGTTTGATAGTTTCAGTGAGTATACCTCCAAAAGTATTCAACGTAATCACCCTAGTTCGCCAGGGCCTTTTCATCTTGACACCTTGTACGACAGCATGAAAGTAAGTGAAATCGGATGATAATCACGCCCACTCCCCATATAGCGGTATTGTTAAAAACTACTAAAATTGCGTTAAATCAATAAGGAAATGCGTGAGAAACATTAAGTTTTACATCCGAGGTGATACAAAAGGGCTTTAAAGGAGCGGGTGTTAAAATTGGAAAATGGGAGTGTCCGCCTACATTAAGATGAAATTACATATCTCCGAACCTACTCCACCAATTTCAACCAAATTTGGTACATAATATTATTTTGACATTATCATGCCACAGTGCCGAAATTGGACGGTAACAACGCCTACTTTCCTTATAACAGAACTTTAATTTCATCTGATTTATTTGCACTACTATTTTCTTTAGTACATGCCATCTCAGTTCTAAAAATTGTCAAAATCAAAATAGTGAGTTAAGTCGTCCTACTAAAAAGGGTACCAAATTCCCTTAAACTGAAGTTATATAAAGATATTTAATTCAACTTCACTTAGATTACTTTGCCGTTATTAAAATATTAATGTACTCACATCGGACAAAATTGATCAAATAATATCCCATATCTGGAAGTATAGTATAGGAATTTACAATGAATTGCATGAGATTAACTATGTGTAATAAGAAATATATTTTCTGGTAAAGAGCTGTGTACAAGTACCATACTGTTATATATACGAAGGAAAAATCGCCGTATTCTACTTTACCACCTGATCAAATTTGACTCGGGCTGACATTTTGTTGTACATTTTCAAATATTTTAATACAAATCGAATACACGTATGTCAATCCAAATTTCTATACACCTATTATAAGCCAAGGCTAGGATGGCCTTTAGTGCCTTCACTGACTGTTGGTTTTTTCGGTTTCGGCTCATCACCCTCGTCTCGTCTCAAGCAATGATGCGTTTGAAAAATGTCTCTTTTGAGACCTTTACGCGATGTCATTTTTGCAAAATATCAGTAAGCAAAACATTATCAAAACTAGGGGTGAGTCGATCCAAAGGATATGTTGAGATGCTCCGATGTCACTGAACGACTCGCGCAAAGTAAATTTTTGATGGCTTCACGACCTTCACTGAATACTTTGTGCCACTAAAATACATGCGTTCGTGATAAAGTAGACTTACAGCTATCATTAAAGATCGTTGGACATTTAGAAAATATGCGTTTAATATGCCAATGCTCTAAAACATTTGCTGCAAACTCTGAGGGAATAACTAAACACTTCTTCTGTCAGTGCCCATCTCTATCACAAGCTCGACAAAGAACTCTTGGAATCCAGCAAATATCAAAACTTAAATGTCTATCAACAAAAAGCATAAGGGAGATAAATAGTTTAATTGTGGGCACCAAATGGTTTGAACACGACGACGAAACGAGATAACAATATTTAAAAGCCTTACGAAGCACGAAGGGGTTGCACACTTACTTACCTACCTAACATACCTATATATCGAAGAAATATTATATTTTAGGGTTGAATTTTTAAGCGTAGCAACTAAATTTAAGATGCAACTAATCAACTACCAAATATCGGTGATGCATATCTGCGGCTCTATATAGAAATTCCTTGACTGCCTTAAAATCCAACACGATTTTAATGTTTGCTTAACGTGTGGACTCGTCGACCCAGATTTCAGCGATCTATTTTCTAAAATGATGATGCAATTTTATATGACATACTTGTAGATATAATTTCCAGATCAGGCGCTATCTAGTGAAATAAATATAATTCCACTACAAACACGAAATTTTTGAGTGGGTGTCAAATCATTAATTATACAAGCAACTTTCTTTCAAATGCAAAATATAATTTAAAACAAGCAAATATATTTTATAGGTTCGCTGACGTTTCGTTTTTGGTGTTACAAACATCGTGTCAAACTTAATATACCCTGTTGAGGGTAAGAATATATAGAAATATAGATGTATGTTGATCAGAACCATATACATATTTAATGTGAAATTCTTAAATTCAGCTGTGTGTCATAATAACTTTCAGGCTTCACCATTTTTATAAAATAATGTGTTAACAGCCCCTAAGTGACGTTAAATCACCAAGGATTGTAAGAGATTATTTTCAGTTTTAAATTGTATGCTCACAAATGTATTTACGTTAAACTGCATTTGATTTTAAAGCATATAAACATATATGTGTGCTTTGAATACGTAATCGCCGATAAAACGTAGATTAAATGTTGTAGAAAATAAAATTGAAATAAATATGAACATAAAGAAGTCTGTGAATAAGGTAAAACAATATATGTATGTTAGGCACACATACATATACACATGCATATGAAATAAATAAATGAAATGTTTTCAACATTGTTCTCACAAAATTAGCCACATACAATACTTAGCCACTGCTTGCAACAAGTTAGATTAAATGCGTAAGCTCATGTGTAAGTGCTTGAGCTTTGGTTAAGTAGCAGCATATACAGATAACTACTTCAAAACTGTTGCAATAAAAGTACAACAATGCAGTATTTATTAACTGAAATTGTTGCATGCAAGCACTTTTGTTCATTGCATATGAAACTAATTACAACAAAAGACAGTGCTCGGAATAACGAATATTGAATTACCTCGTTATTGCACTTTAATCTTCTAACTGGCATAAACTCGTATAAAATTACACAAAACACTGAAATTTGGTCAAAATATGCAGACAATAGATCTGCATCTTAACTGCTGGTGGCTACTAGCTATCAAAAGTGGATTGCAAGTTACAAAGAACGAAATAACGCAAAAGTAAAGAAACGAGAAACTAGCAACAAAATACCAGAATGTCGCTTTTCACAATCACTGCGTATCAACACTTGAAAATTAATCAATCAAATCTTTATTTTCACAACTCAAAAAAATGAAAATAAACAAAATCAAAGCAAATGTGTCAAATTTACACAAGTGCTTTATTTTTCGTAAGAGGAAGCCCGCTCCGTATAGACACAACCTTATATTATATAATTAAATCATGTATGGGCGTAGCTATTTTCTGCTAATAGACATTTCATTAGCAGAAACTGGCAGCTCTCTCAGCTTTTTTTACCCTGAACAGGGTATGTTAAGTTTGCCACGAAGTTTGTAACACCCAGAAGGAAACGTCGGAGACCCTATAAAATATAAACATAAATGATCAGTATGATGACCTGAGTTGATTTAGCCATGTCCGTCTGTCTGTTTGTATGTTCGCGAACTAGTCTCTCAGTTTTTAAGCTATCGATCTGAAATTTTCCACCTGTCCTTTTCTCACTAGGAAGCAGCTCGTTTGTCGGAACCGTCGATATCGGATCACTATAGCATATAGCTGCCATGCAAACTGAACAATCGGAGTCAGGCCCTTGTATGGGAAAATTTTTTATTTGACGAGATTTCTTCACGAAATTTGGCAGGAGTTATTGTTTAAGGTAACAATGTATTCTTCTAAGAAATTTTAGTTCAAGTAAGGAAAATTTGTATTTGTGAAGGGTATTATAACATCTGTTCAACTCTTCTACTAGTTTTTGGGTTATGAAATGCTTTTTCAGCAGAAACTTTGCTCGCTAGTAATAGCAATCTGCATCCGCGGTGCACCATCTTGTTGGAAATAGAGATCGTCCGCGTTGGTTTCATCGAATTCCGGAGAAAAAATGACGGTCAACATCGTGTTAGAACGCTCGCTATTGATGGCAACAGCATTTCCTACCACATTATGAAAGAAATAGGCTCATACCACCATCCGCACCAAACGGTTAACTTTTGAGGATGCAATTACGTTTCCTGAACCACACGAGGATATTACTCACCCCATTAGCGTCAAATTAGTTTGTTGACGAAGCCATTAAAGCAGAAATGGACATTATCTGAGAAGAGTATTTTGCGATGAACGTAAATGTGCGTGATATTGTTAAACACTTTCCGAGCGTTGTATCCAATTGAAACGTGACATGATGAAATGACAAATCTTACTGAACACACTGACAATATTTTACACAAACACGTAAACAAACATGGCTGCTATTGGTAGCCGCTGTACTTGTATGTTTAAGTAATATAGATTACAAATATACAATGACTCACAATTTCTAATAGCCGAGAACATAAAATATAATATTAATTTAAAGTTTTGTAAATTTATTATTTCTTTGTTTTTTTTTAAATAATTATAGACATATCTTTGAAAACTGTAATAGTTGTCAAACCAACTGCCAAACCAGCTGTCAAAATATATGTGTTATCAGTTATTTTCACTATTTTTTTTATCAAATTATCATGCATAGACCTCGGAAGATGGAAGAAGTCGCGGTAATTAATTTATTCGCGACAGTTTGATTACTCCGGTCCACATCAATATTAGTTAAATGATATCAGCATTGGACTGCAAATAGCTACATATCTCGCTAAGAAGGTTGTTGGAGACAAAATATCGATCAATAACTTCTATGTGGCTTATTTCAATAACTCCAAAAACTGCTTTTCGATGGAAAATAGTAGAAATTGTATCATATTAGCTTTTATTATCTAGTAAAAAATTAAATTGAAAACTATGGCATATGAGTTCCTGCCGTGGTTATGGTCCGAATTATAAGTTTAGGTATAACTGATAGTTTTGCGATACCTCTATAGTTTTCAATTTTGGATCTAAATCCACTTTTATGCAAAGGGATTATAAATGACTGTTTCCATATTGAAGGAAATATACCGTGTTTAAGAGAGGAATTAAATATCCTTGTCAAAGGCAGGTAAATATATTTGGCACTATTTTTTAGGAAGCATGAGGGTATCATGTCTGGGCCATAACTAAAAGATGGTTTTAACTTATTTAAATTAAGTAGGACGTCTTCTTCAGAAATAATTGGAGCGGTAATTAAAGTATTCGAACACACCACGTGCTGATAAGAAAAAGTTTTGGAAGAATTTTACAGTAGTTTGACTTGAAAAATTCTGCAAACATATTGGATATAATATCATTGTCACTTTAAATGATAGATTTGTATTTCATTGCGGACGGAAATTTGGAAATCCTGCGTTTGGAGTTGACGAAATGATAAAACGATTTTGGATTACTTACAATATTCTTTTTACTTTATTTAAGTAATTATTATAACATTTTTTGTTTAGGTCAAAATATTGTCGACACAATAGAAAATATTTAGAATAGTATGAGAAGTGCACCAGTTTTTTTAAAATGTTTAAAGGCTCGAGTTTTTCTGTTTTTCAATTTAAATAACTCTTTCGAAAACCACCGACTTATACTTTTACTTTTATTAACAATTACTATTGGAACATACTTTTAAAATAATTTCATAATAATGTTATTAAAATGAGTGACACTCAATTCAATGTCACCATTATAATTAGGCCATGTTATTGTAGAAAGTTCTGTATTTAACTTTTTAAAATTAGCTTTTGCAAAGTTAAACCGAGTACGGAAGCACGAAGTTTGATGATTATTATCCCGTACATTGCCTGAGATTTCGACAGATATTTCCAAAGCAGGATGATATGAGTCCTCTGGTAGAACAAGAGGATTACTCTGAATAACGGAACACTTTGCAGAGGTATCAACGTATACTAAATCTAAACATTTACCAAATTTATTCGGAATCAAATTAATTTCGTTCAGACCCAACTCGAACATTTTTTTGAAAAACTCATTAAAACATGACCGATTGCAAATCGGCACGATATAGTCATCGAAAGGTTTGCACGAAGCACACGGTAAATTGAAATCACCTAATACAATTATTGAATCTGCATTATTTGCCATCGAGGTAGCACTATTTATTAAAGAAGCATGCTGCATGTATACAGATAAGTCTGAATGGGGTGGGATATAAGATAGGGTTAAATAAATAAAGCAACTATTAACGTAGACTCTAATACATTTAAATTCAAATGAGTCGGTCCCTGGAACAAGAATATTTTCAGATGGGATAGAGGAATGCACGGAAAAAGCACACCTCCACCGATTCTGTTCAGTCGATCACATCGAAAAATTTGAAATTCGCTGTTTAAAATCTCACTATCAAAAATGTGAGGTTTTAACCAAGTTTCTGTAAATCCAATTATATGGAAATTAAAATTGGAACTGTTCAAATACAAGTCAGTTAATTTTGTATGAAGACCTCTAACACTTTGATAATAAATGCTTAGCGAATTTCTACCAATCAGTTTTTTATATCGGTGGTTGCTTTTGGTAATTTAACAATGTTTTCCTCAGTTTGACTTGTAAGTTTAGGTTTAAATTCGCGTACAAAAGCCCCAGGTGGCTAGAATGAACTATCTAAGATCTTCTTGAATGTTTCTACTATCATAATTGAAGTTAAATTTACGGATATTGATATCATCGATTTTGAAACGTGACGAAATGTAAGATTTAATGTCCGCCAAGGTATCTTTGGCAAGTCTCGAAATAAATATAGACTTTTTAGGTGGAATAACTATCAAATTATTAACTGATGCTACTAAGTTATTAGGGGGGGCCTCTGGAATTGTGAGACCCTTATTACTATTAGATAGAGCTTTTGGAGAATTGAGCTTTTTGGAAGTTGACGGCTTATCACCTTGAGGGCAAGGAGAAGACGTTCCTTTCTGTACAGAAGAACTAAGCGTTACTTCATCGGAAGGATGTTTACGCTTAGGAGCAGGTTTAGAGGATTCGTGAGAATCATTCAGCACTTAAAAGATTTGAACAATTTTTGTAGTGCCTAAATTTTTCATTGAGGGTTACAAGATCACGACCGATTTCGTTAAAGCCACTGCGTGTCTTCCTATAAACTTTAAATAGATCGATTTCAATAGATCTACAATTTAAACAGGACCAACGCAATCCCCTACAGTCGAGAATAAGATCTAAGATTCTACCTGTCAGTCCAGCACATTTAATATGGGCAAGACCATCACAAAACCAGCATGAAACGCAGCGATCTGACTCGCCTTTAATGTTACAATTGGGGAAGTTACACGACATAATAAACCACAAGAATGAAGATCAAATAAAAGGGTAAGTAGAACAAAATTTAATAGATATATAATAAATTAGTGTGTTAATAAAATATTTATAATAATAAATTCAATTAAGAACAAACGCAAAAATAATAGCAATCTTTTTACCAAAGTTTAAAACCAAGCCAGTTTTAAAAAGCAATATAGCGAGCAGTTTTAGAAGCACTGTAACAAATGAAAAGCTAAACGCAACACAGCTGTGAATAAAGAAGTAAATGAGATAATGATAATGAGAAAAATAGAATAAAATAAAACAAAATGAAACAAAAAGCTGACTCGGCACCAAAAATTGGAAAGTTTAAACTTTTTAATACTGCACAAAACTTAGGAACATTTAATACTTATCTTGCAACTCAGAGTTAAATCACCAAAAATTGTATTAAATCAGTAAAAAAAAATCAATTAAACTTGAAGAATTTATAAAATAAAAATACAAAAGTTCACAGCCAAAAAATTACAGCTTAAGAGTTTGAAGTTTTGCCACCTTCAAAGTAAGTTGTGACTGCCAACAAGTAGAGTGTCAATGGGGTCACACGTCGGTTTTTTGATGAACCACCCCCAGAGCTAACGCGGAGAATAATTTTGCAAAATTCCATGATATTTTATTTACAGACAGCCGATTGAACATGCACAAGATACATGTAATATAGAGCATTTCAAAAAACTGCGTTGACTAAGTCCAAACAGTTCGACGAACAAATTCCAAAGAAAGCGAAGACTGGGATTCACAAATTGTGAGCTCCTCCGACTACTTGGAGAATGGCCAAACGACCACCATGACCACTAATCCGCTCCATAATCTTCGCCGTCGTCAAATTGCTGAAATTAGGCTATGAACTTCTACACCATCGACCGTGTTCTCCAATTTTGGCTCCATATGGCCAAATTTGAGTCGAATGATCGCCACCAAGGAGGCCGACATTGAAGACCTCCGAAAAACTTATTTTTTAGACGGGCTAATGAAGTTGGAGAATTACTGAATTAAGTGTATCAAGCTAAAGAGAGGCAATGCAAAAGAAATAAATCGGCATTTTCGAGAAATTTTAATTTTCCTTTGTAAGCTGAATGTTTTTTTGGTCTATAGACGAACGGACGAAAAACCATACAAATGGGGTTGAATAAATTCTTCAAAATAATTGAAATGAAACTATCGGTCAAAAATTTTCATATGAAATATGGTACAGAGCTATTTATTGTTGTCCTATAAACATATCGTGTACCTGTGATATAATGGCTGATACATACTTGTATATTTTAACTTGTTTCATGATGAATACATCAGGTAACGCTACAATCATATCAATAGTCGCGATAACAGTATTACTGATTTTGTGTCGACTTTTCGTGAGTAGGTTATAGCTCATTAAATTATCTTTATTCTAAATATTATTAATCCTGAGAATGGTACTCTTTCTCTCTCAAGCTCGCACCATTTGTGCGCTTTGCTCGAACAGTTCCTCTATCCAAGGTTCGATATTAAAAAAATAAATTATAACTAATACGCAATAATTGAAATGGTCTGCATTGTAATCGTGATAACAACAACAATAGTGAAAATACGCAGATTTTCCCTTATATATAGATGCATCCATAAGTACACAGTTTTACAGATATTATGCCCATTAATTTATATTCATGCATAGCAAATAGATTATAACGCCGTCAGCTGCGCGTAAGAAATTCATTAAAAAATATTCCAATTTTATTTGAAAATTATACACCACGCTAAAGTTAATGAAGTTCTCTATAAAAAAACACACAAAAAATCGCTTAAACGCTTTCACAGCGACCCAAAAACGCGAAATGAAAAGCTTCTGCAACAGCAGCTGCCCAGCTGGCTAGCTGGCATCGGTGCTGTAGCTTTAATGTTCAAAGGAAACGGATGCAATTTATTTTCATGATCTCCGACCGAAGACAACTTACCGCTGGCAGCTTGTCTGCAAAAAGTAGTAGCGTGGCTTAAATGGAAAATGGCGAATAAATGCACGAAAATGGCGAAAAAAATATTAAAATTATATGAAATGGATAAAATCACAAAAACGCTCAGCGCACAGCCCTGCGTTGCACAGTTTAATATCAAAAATCGATTGAAATTAATATGAGTTTATGTCGACGGGAGTCGTCGCCGTCGCTGTCGAACGCAATGTGCTGATGTGGTTGGCGTACATTACATCAATGTGTACGTATTTATATGTGTGTCTACATATATTTAGGTCCTTGCATGTAGACACGATGGTTAGTTTTTTGTTGTAGCAAAGTGTAGAGCGCAAAGTGCTAAATACAGTGATGAAGGCGCATAATAAGGAAAATTGATAATTACGAGTATTAAGGCATTAAGGCAAAATTGCAGCCATTAATAACTGCTGAGGTGCATGGTTGGGGCAAAGAAAAAATTAAAAAAAAAAAAAGGTTAGCCAGGCGCTATTAAGTGCTCAGCAAATTTTCGGTGCTGTCTTATTGATTTTTAATATACATCTGTTTCGAGTTTTGTTGCTTGGTGGTGGCATATTAGTAATTCGGTGGCTATTATGCTGGGAAAAGTATTTTATTTTATTTTTTTGATCAATATGCGATTCAGTTATGCGCGAACTGCTTCAAGTTGCTGAGGCATAAATATTTATGATCTATAAATTGAATTTTTCTTTGCCACCAAACCTTTCAACTACAATTATTTATAAGAGAGTGTGTTGTGCCTGAAAAGAGACCTTTTAATTTTTAAGCTAACCATTATTAATGTTAAATTAATGGCGCAGTGAAAAGTGTAATTACATCGTAAATACATACGTAGGCAACTTTAATGATGCATCTAACTGATTGTTGGTTTGCGGAGCACTTTTAGTTTAAAAAACCTTGAATTATCAATGTGATTTTCACTCGATTTGATTTTGAGCAACATTTTCATCACTAGCGCTATGGTAGTCGAACTCTTGTAATTGAAATTATGCTAAACATATGAAAATTGCATACAAGAGTATTATTCAAAAGTATTAAGAGGATTTAAGGATCACATATCGGACCAACATATACAATAGAACATCCCGAAACTATTAGATTAAAATTTATCTACAACGAAAAGCACGACTGAATTCAATCTAAGATGGTCCCTTAATATGGTTTAAGACTGATCAAAACTGAACCACAAATACATTTACTTGTCATAAAACACAATTTGGAATTCTATCAGGTTCTTTTTCTAAGCAATATGTAGATACCTTAAGCTGGAAATGAAACAGAGCTTGGCAAAAATAACGCTGCTGGCTTCTGGCAAGTCATTTCCCAAATTTACGAAATTGCTCCATACTTTCTCATACTTCTCGTGTAATAATTATAATAAATAACCTTATATTATCAAATAGAGTGATCAATTGGCATATTTGTCAAAGTACTGTAATGTGACTTGGTGCCAATAGCAGATGAAATTGCTGCAAGACTTTCTCTAGCTCTTAAATGCTCGATGTAAGAGTTTTTTATTTCTCAAAACATCATTCGAAATCAAGCATGAGTGATATCGGTCAATGGCTGAATGTCAATTTCTATTAGTTAGTTTGATTTTAAAGTAGTTACATATTTTTGAAATAAACCAATATATGCTAAAAAACTAAAGTGGCAATATGAACCAAAAACCAGCGCAACTCTTTCACAAGTTCACTTAATAACGAATAATGTTTTTTTAAAGAAGGCTATCTAAGATTTTGTTGTCTACTTACTGATGATCGTTATAGGGATATAAACATATTTTTCGAAGAACCCTGGAAGGTTAATACTGCATTTTGTAGGATGAGATTTATTGAAATTGGCTTGGCAAATGGAAGTTCTATAAATTCATTAATATTTAAGTTTCGGTTAAGGCATTTAAAATCTATAGATTAATAATTCCTGAAAAGACAGATCAAACTCATTATTTCATAGAGTAATACAGAAGAAAATACTAAAGCAATAAATATCGAAGAAGAAGAAAAGTATTCACCGAAAACGCACTCGCATGGCTAAAGTAAGAAAGGTAAAAATGAGCAGGCAAAGGAAAAAAATTAGAAAAATTGGAAGAATACAAATAAATAAATCAAACTATATTCATATGGGTAGGGTAAGGGGAAAAAAATTAAGCAATGTAGAAGAAGAAGAATAGCGTCAAAGATATCCGAAATCCCGGCCCCTATATTAAAATACTCCGTTTCAACAGAGCAACAAACCATTTATTGTTATGTAGCAAGGAATCCCAATGAGTTTTTTACGACTAAAAAATATGGCCCATGGATTTCTTATTATTATAATATTTGGTGGATATTTTTTGCCGCTGCAAAAACAAAAACAAAACAAAAATATCACGATTTGGAGCTGGATATATTACATATTCCTCAGTGACATAGTACTTCAATAAAGACAAGCCATGTCCCCGAATTTAATAATCAATCCAAAATGTGAAATACTGAGGGGATAAAGCACTAAGGAAGGCTTGAAATATTTTCAAATTCTTATACATATATGTACAGTGACGCCTACTCCTTATTCTGTATTCCCACACAGATACCTTAAACACTCTTTAAACGACTTAAAGCTAATAAATACGCATTTCTCTCAATTTTAATATTACCCAGTGGCAAGTAAAGTTAACATTTAAGCTTGTAAGCATATTTACGCGGAAACTGTCTCCGAAGCTCGCATAAAGTGTCCCTAAATCAATAACAACTTCCATTAACTTTGACAACAAGCAGCAAATCTTCCAACAAAAGCCAAAATAACAAGTAACGATAAATATGCAATAAAAGGTCATTGTGATGATGCAACAGGAATGGAAAAAAAATTACAAAACCCATAAGCAGAGACAACACTGAACACAGCAACATGACCTCTCTGGTGTCTACGACGGAGTAAAGTCTGTTTTTACTTTGGCTTTTTTAAAGACACAATTTAATGCAATTCTTACATTTTTATTAGCCCCAAAAGAAATTCTAGCAAGTGCATGGAAAATTGTTTGGGAACCAAGGAGCAGTTATTGCAACAGCCGCCTGTGGCAAGCAGCTATGAGCGCCCGAAGCAAAACATCGTGTGGCGTCTGTGCATTGAAGATTCAGTACTCCACTAGTCTGATGTGTGTTTGTGTTCATATGTGTGAGTGTGAGTGTATGTCCAACAAAGTGTTCACGGTATTGATAGGTTGTTTCCACTGTGGGTATGCTTCGGTTTGTTGCTCATACGCCCAGTGCGCTTCCGGTCAAAATGCGCACGCGTTTTCATTCTTTGGTTGTTGTTCAACCATTGTCTGCCAATACAATATATGAATGTACAAACTGATGATAAGTATGTTATTGTATGAATTTCATATATGTTCCATCAAGCACTCGTTAGGAATATGTGAAGCAGAGTTCATTAAGTTTGCATACCAGTAAATATATCTTCTGGGCAAGTAATATATTATTATTTTAGGTACTTTCTTCCTTTTTGTCGATTCAGATGTTACATACTTGTCTAGTGGTTTTCTCAACAAATCTAGTAACTAGGAACTAAGATTTGGGATGGACCTTCAAGAAAACATGATACACTTCCTTATCACCAAATGGAACTGCTACGCTTCTGTTATACGCAATTCTAAACACACTTCATAGGAAGCGAATGGGAAGAAATCAAATTGCAAAACACGATCTGAGGTATGGCACACAGATGTTCCGAAACTTTGAACCAATTTCGAATCACTAAGAGCGGTAAGAACCATTTTACGAATTTTGTGACTTTACTCTTATTTTCTGAGAAGTATCGAATAATACAGTGGCAGAGAGTAAGACTGAGCAACTGAAATAATTTTGAGAGTACATGGAAAATATATGTTTTCAAAAATATAAATTGAGTCCCATCAGTTAAAACAATTATTTTAAAATACTATATAAAGTAATTCTATTTGAGATGCTATGTAAAGTCAATGGGATTTCCAAGAGGTCTTGTTGTGTAGTGGTAAACTTGAAAATCATTAAATCATCATTTAATATTTCGAATTACCGCCGATTCCCAAAAAAAAAAAACAGCCTTAACATCTCTAACTGTGGAAAGCTACTGGATTATAGTGGCCGGTATACTTGCTCTGGTCACCTTAACAGTATTTAGTAGTGAGAATTGAATTGAGAAGTTGAATGACTTTGACATTTCTGTA